AAAAAAAAAAAAAAAAAAAACTATATGAACTATATATAAAAATTAAAACTGATACTACTCTCAAGGCTTAAGAGGGGGATTTGGAATTAAGTAATTTAGATTTTATAACAGTATATATATGTTTATAAAATATAAATTTATATTTAAAATTTAATACGATATTCATGATAATTTATTTAAAAGATTATTTCACAATAAAACTTCTAATCATGTTAAGTTTAAAAGGTTCTTTTTTTGTTTGGTAAATATGTTTTGATAAAAATCTGAATAAGATCTGATCATACTGAGCATGATATAGACTAGATCCTAATTAAATTCGTTCCTACATTTAATATATGCACATCGCCTTTAATATGGATTTCTTTATAAGAATATTTAACTGAGTCATCGTCACCATTCACCAATCACCATCATCAGTCACCAACTCACCATTCACCAGTCACCATCATCTGATTTGTGAAATACATTTATATATATTTACATGCAATTACATATACATCTTCTATTAACTAATAATTAAGCACCAAAAAATAAACTTCAATTACTTCAACAATAAATTTAAAAATAGTTATTATTCAGTTTTATTCATTATTCACTTAACAGTTAGATTGAGAAAAAGAAATGTCTATACGTACATGTAAAACAAAATGATACATGTTTAAGGATTAGAGTTTAAAGCTTAAGATTTAAGGTTGAATGTGTACAACATCATTATTCTTTATATTTATTTTTCTCTATAGTTTCATTTTATTATATTTAATAATGATAAAGAGAATTAAATAAAAAAATAATATTATAAAAGTTATTGTACAATTTTATTAGACATAAATCATTACTCAATATAAAATCGAGAAATTGAGAATTGAAAAATAACTCTTTTAAAATTATTATTAGAGTAATATTTTGGGATAAACCACATTTATTTTTTCATGAGAGACGATCTTATTGGAGTCATATAAGAATATAAGTAATAAACTTTCCTTTTGAATATTTTTTTTTGGTTTTTTTATTTATGAATATGATTCTTATAATATTTTAAAATAGATAACTAAAAACTAATTTATAATTATATAACATAAATTTTACTGATTAAACACTATTTTAACAATAACATAAATATATTATATAAACACTAGGTGAACGCAATCTCAAAACTACTTATAAATATTTAAGAGTACTGAATTCGAAACAAATAGTGAAAGTAAAACAATTCCTCTCTTGACAAAGGATGATAAGATGGTTCTTTTGACGAAAATGGATTTCTCTATTTTTTTTTCTCCATTCTTCCATTTTTTTTTTACTTTTTGAAAAAATATAAAATAAAATAAATGAAATTAATGCATACTTTAGGATGACTTACATTCATAATTTTAAAATTTTAATAATGGAAGAAATAGAGAGAAAAGGAAATAGAGAGGGTACTAACTCTCTTTTAACATACGTGGCATTAGATTTATTGGAGTAATGATTTCTCTTTTTGAACTGATATTTGAGTATCTTTAACACGGATTAAGAATGCTTGTGGTATATCTTACTATTGAACAATAATATTTATCATAAATTCTTATAAGAATGTAATAACATGATATATTGATTGTTTAGCAACGACTATTAAATAAATAACATTGTTAATGAATAAAAAAAATAATCCTTTTCAGTCTCTATTTTTTTTAATCAACAATAGATAATCCAAACCACTCTATTAAATAAAATAAAATAAAATAAAAAACAAGCATGCATGCATCAATCTTTCATCTCTCCCTTAAATTTTTATACGCATACATCAAATTAGTTGTGTAAATTTTATTATTAATTCTTATATGTTAAAATATTATTTATTATATTTAATTAAATTAATATTTAATTATAATAATTATATTAATTTTTAAGTTGTCAAAAAGTGAAATATAAATAAAAAATTATAAAAATATGGATTACTTATAAGATTCTACTATTAAAGAAAAGTTTGTAAAAATGTAATGCAAATTATTTAAAAATAATATGGCATAAAAAATTTATTTAAATAAAATAAGAATCTTAAAAAATTATATATAACAACCATCCTATTCTCTATATGCTAAAAATGCTTTTATATCACCCTTGTTATTATTACTAGTAAAGGGAAGAGACTTCAACCCCAAGTGTGTGGTTCAGCGATAGGGGTTGATCCACGCTTAAGCAAGGTCAGGGGTTCGAATCCTGCCTTGTGTATGCAGTCGCGTTAAATCTTGAGGCTAGCTATCCCACTCTTTGAGGAGGCCAGCTATCCTACCCTTTGAGGTGCCTTCAACGTAGCGAGGAGATTAGTCACCGCTATCGGCGGTAGATACTTCAGGGACGAACAAAAAAAAAGAAGAGACTTCATGTCTCTTTATATTTACTTTTAAGAAAATAGTTGTAAAAAAAAATATTAAAATTTAAAATAGGTAACAATATAAATTAGTAATTGAGAGTGTGAATAGTTCTAAAAAGTGTTTTATTCAGGAGTAAAAGTGTCCGATTAAAAATGGAAATATAAAAAGAATTGTTAATATATGTGTATGTATAGATAATGATTCAAACAATATTGATATAATTTTTACAAATTATTACTGTTGAAATACAAATAAGATTTCACATCAATAAAATAAGAAGAAAAATAACAATTTATAAAATACATTCATACTTCAATCAACTTATAAAATACATTCATACTTTAATGATTGAGAAATCTTTTGGAAGACAACTAAAAGCAAAAACCATGAGGAATATAAGGTGTGAGATTGTGTATAAAATAACTTTATAAAAATAACAAAGTTATAACCTTTATCTTAATTTTCATAAAATATTCTGTCAGACAAATATTATAAAATACCTTAAATTGAAGATTTCTTACTCTCAAAGCATATATACAAAATTTCAAATTAAAAATAAGATTTCTGACGGAAAATTCCGTCAAAAATTTCCGACAGAATAATTCCGTCGAAAATTTTCTGGCAGAAATTTTCGACGAATTTATTTTTCCGTCGGAAATTTCCGACGGAATTTTCCGTCGGAAATTTTTCTTGTAGTGCTCGCACATTAAGGAGAATGTTTCCTCCTATGTACAATCACTCTTGTTGGTAGTCTATCCAACAATAAAATCCATGAGAAAACTAACACCTTCGTTGGAGTTACACCTGTCCAAAATTTAGGAAAAATCTCCACTAAGGAATTAAGAAATGTATTAGACAATAATATATTTTATAACTACGCTTATGTTATAATCTTACTATAAAGTTCCAAATCCATTTATCACCACCATCACTCCTTAATGAAATAAAAGAGATTAAGTTATGTAGGTCAACAAATATTTGCTCTTCCAAGACAAAAAGCTTTTTTCGCCACTTCTATATCCAA